CCAATGCCTTGCTTCTGTTGTGCCCATTTTGAACTTTAAGCAAATATGTAGTCTCCTGTGTCTTTCACTCCCCATTATATCAATGAGATTCAACATGGTGGTGGGAGCAGCAATAGTTCATTTATCCTCATTGCCACGAGCCCACTGTATGATTATACCACAGTTTACCCACTCTATGTTAATGGTTTCTTGGGTTGGTTCCACTCTGGGGCCATTATAGGTAGTGCCACTGTGAATGTTTCTGTACCTGCCTTTTGGTGAGCAAACCTGTGCATTTCTCCTAGGTGCATACTTAGGGGTGGAATTACAAGATCATAAAGTATGTGAATGTTCAACTTTGGTAATACTACCTAATAGTTGTCCAAATTACACTCCCACTAACTGAGCTCCTGGAGCTCCTCCTTACTTGATACTATGTCTTTTTCATTTTAGGCACCCTGATAGGTGAGTAGTGGTATCATATTGGAGTTTTAATTTACATTTTTCTGATGGCTAACGAAGCTGGGCATTTGTTCCATGTTTATTTGGATATCCTCTTTTGTGAAGTGCCTATTCTAGTTTTTTTGCTCATTTTTCTACCGAATTGTCTATCTTTTTGTGTTTTTCATTTTTTTTTAACGTTTATTTTTGAGAGAGAGAGAGAGACAGAGACAGAGACAGAGAGACAGAGCATGAGCAGGGGAGGGGCAGAGAGAGAGGGAGACCCAGAATCCAAAGCAGGCTCCAGGCTCTGAGCTGTCAGCACAGAGCGGGGCTCAAATTCACAAGCCGTGAGATCATGACCTGAGCTGAAGTCGGACGCCCAACTGAGTGAGCCACCCAGGTGCCCCTGAATTGTCTACCTTTTCTTACTGAATTCTCTGTAAAGTCTGGATACAGGTCTTTTGTCTGATATGCATAGCGCAAAAGTCTCCCACTTGGTGGTTGTCACTTCACTATCTTGATGGTGTATTTTTTTAAATTTTATTTAAATCCAAGTTAATTGTATATAGTGTAGTAATAGTTTCAGGGGTAGAATTTGGTGATTCATCACTTACATATAACATCCAGTGCTCATCCCAACAAGTGCCCTCCTTAATGCTTATCTCCCATTTAGCCCATGCCCCCACCCACCACCCCTCCAGCAGTCCTCGGTTCTCTGTATTGAAGAGTCTCTTATTGTTTGCCTCCCTCTCTGCTTATATCTTATTTTTCCTTCCTTTCTGTTTTATTTATTAAATTCCACATATGAGTGAAATCATATGATATTTGTCATTCTCTCACTGACTTATCGCTTAGCATAATACACTGTAGTTCCATCCACATTATTGCAAATGGTAAGATTTCATTCTTTTTGATTGCTGAGTAATATTCCATTGTATATATACAGAACAGTAAAAGATGGCTACATGGTGATGCTCATGTACTTTAGGTATTCTTTATCCATCTTCTTTATCCATTCATCAGTCGATGGACTCTTGGGCTCTTTCCATACTTTGGCTATTATCAATAGTGCTGCTATAAACATTGGAGTACATGTGCCCCTTTCAATCAGCACTCCAGTATCCTTTGGGTAAATACCTACTAGTGCAGTTACTGGGTCACAGGGTAACTCTATTTTTAATTTTTTTGATGAGCCTCCATACTGTTTTTCAGAGTGGCTGTACCAGTTTGCATTCCCACCAGCAGTGCAGAAGTATTCCCCTTTCTTCACATGCTCACCAACATCTGTTGCTTCCTGAGTTGTTCATTTTAGCCTTTCTGACAGATGTGGCGTGGTATCTCTTTGTGGTTTTAATTTGTATTTCCCTGATGATGAGAGATGCTGAGGATCTTTCCATGTCTGTTAGCTATCTGGATGACTTCTTTGGAAAAGTGTCTATTCATGTCTTTTGCCCATTTCTTCACTGGGTTATTTATTTTTTGGGTGTTAAGATTGATAAGTTCTTTATAGATTTTGGGTACTAACCATTTATCTTATATGTCATTTGCAAATATCTTCTCCCATTCTGTCAATTGCCTTTTAGTTTGTTGATTGTTTCCTTCACTGTGCAGAAACTTTTCATTTTGTTGACGTCCCAGTTGTTCCTTTTTGCTTTTATTTCCCTTGCTTCCAGAGTCATGTCTAGTAAGAAGTTGCTGTGGCCAAAGTCAAAGAGGTTGTTGCCTATTTTCTCCTCTAGGATTTTCATTGTTTCTTGTCTTACATTTAGGTCTTTCATCCATTTGGGGTTTATTTTTGTGTATGGTGTAAGAAAGTTGTCCATGTTAATTCTTCCGCATGTTGCTGTCCAGTTTTCCTAACACCATTTGCTGAAGAAGCTGTCTTTATTTCCATTTTCTTTCCTGCTTTGTCAAATGTTAGTTGGCCACACATTTATGGGTCCATTTCTGGGTTCTCTATTCTATTCCATTGATCTATGTGTCTCTTTTTGATTACAACTTTGTAATACAGCTTGAAGTCTGGAATTGTGATGCCTCCAGCTTTGCTTTTCTTTTTTAACATTACTTTGGCTATTTGGGGACTTTTCTGGTTCCATACAAATTTTAGAATCATTTGTTCTAGCTCTGTGAGAATGCTGGTGTTATTTTGATAGGGATTATATTGAATGTGTAGATTGCTTTGAGTAGTATTGACATTTTAATAATATTTGTCCTTCCAATCCATGAGCATGGAATATTTTTACATTTCTTTGTGTTTTCTTCAATTTCTTCTATAAGCTTTCTATAATTTTAAGTGTATAGATCCTTTATTCGATGGTATCTTTGGATGAAAAGATGCTCTTAATTTTTTTCAGTCCAGTTTATCAATGTCCTTTATGGGAGCAGCTTTTGTGCCCTGTTTAGGAAATGTTGCTCACTCCCAACCTCATGCACTGTTATTCTTCTACCTGAATTGCAGTTAGAATATTAAGGCCGAAAGAATTCTTTGTTCCAATCTGTTGGTTCTTAACCTTCTGCAAATCCTGGCTCCCTGTGAAAATCTGACAAAAACTGCACACTCTGCACAGAAGTGCACACGTGCACACACACAGCAAACTTTCCTACAGTTTCCTCCTCACTTTCCTACAGACTGACGTTGTTAAAGAACCCTGAACTAGTCCAACCAGTCTTTTTGCAGATGGGAAAGTCAAGGCGCAGAGAGAGTGAGTCACAAACTGTAAGTTTGTGGTCCAGCTGCAACTAGATTTCAGGTCTCTTGACTCCTATTCCAGTGCTCTTTCTAACACAGTTCCCTCCTGCAGTCTTTCTGAGACTCACTCTGTCAGAGCCATCAAAGGGAGAGACCGTTTTCAACGAAGAGAGGTTTCTGTGCAGTAGCAGCAAACCATGGCTACATGGTGACGCTCATGTACTTTAGGTATTTACCTTAAATGTTATGCTCCAAGAAGTCTGTATGTAAGTTTGTGAAGTTGCGCTGGGACTTATCATGGTTGATGCATCTTCCTCTAGCTGTGACTCAATGCCCTGGGGTTGCTATGTTGAACCTTACTGTATGCACCACCTGTGTTCTGTTTAGTGTCTTGATTGGCTCCGGCTGGAATATTAAAAAAAAAGAACCTTACGTAATAAGTTTCCAGTCTCAATGCTCAACTGGGTGAGGTTCACCAAAGTGGTTGCTCCAGGGAGAAAATTAAAAGAGGCGGAGGCAGGGAAAGGAGCTCTGAGTTTCTTGACTACGCTATGTCAGTTTGCAAATAATCAGTAGAAAAGCTGGGCCAGAGTTTATAGAAGTATTCGCTAACAGTTTTCCTGATATGCTGCCTTTTTACCCACCACTGCCTGCAGTAGCTTCTTCGAAGTTTCTGAGTGGACTGGGCAGCTTCCAGGTAATACGCCCAGGTATTTTCAAGAGACCACTCAAACCCCCATAGTAGGAGTCTCCAGAGTTAATCCTGTTACTCATCCACAAAGCTTAAGGTGCACTGCCAGAAGTGTGTGTTTCAGACTTGCAACACACACCACAATTTGTATCTCATGATGAAAAAGACTGTTGGGATCTTTGGGCCACACCCTGAAACACAGACTAAATGATCTCATCCTCAGCACAAAGGAAGTTGAGCCCATAATACCGTCTGCAAATTGGATCCTATTAGATCTGACAGACAAATAGCATCCCATTATTCTATCCCATTTTACTTCTGTCCCATTGGCCCCCAGAGAGCCTCTCCTCCGGTTTCATCAGGTACTTGTGATTAAGTAGGTGGGGAGCTAGAACGTCACATATCTGGATGAGGTGCATCTGTCACATCATTTCAAAAGCGTATACCGAATACCTGCTATGTGCCAGGCACTGTACTAGATGATGGGGATACAGGGACAAATGAGGCATGCTCCCTGTCCTTAAGGAGCTCCCAGTCTAGGCAGAGGGACAGCTCAGTAAACTGACAAGCACCACGCAGTGTGGTAAGTGCTGTACGCGTGGCCAGCACAGGTGCTGTGGGACCAGGAGGACCAGCATCTGAATCGGCCTGGGGGGTCCAGGAAGGCACTTCTGCAGAAGGAATCTGAAAGGGGGATGGAGCAAACAGATGGAGACGGATGGAACTGATACCCGTTCTGGGCAGGCCGGTGGGGTACTCAGTGACACAGTGACAGGGAGCTGGGGGTGGTTGGGATGCAGGCACTGGGAGTCAGAAGGGGGGCTGCGGATGTCCATTTACATGCAGAGTTTTGTCTTTGTTTTCCTTTCTCGTTTTTAAAAGAGCTACTGAAGTCAAAGGCTGACGATAGACTTGATAGGCTTGTAACTCGAAAGATTCACTTATCCCATTAACTCAGGTACCTTTGGCATTCATGTCACTGTGGCAGTAATGCCTAAATCAGAATCTCTCCCCCTTATGTTGACCATGGTGACCCTTAATCATCTTAGGCTCTCAGGGTCTCCTGGGCCCCACCAATCAGCCCATCACTGCTGCCTTCTAAAGACAGGTCTCTGATGAGAATATCATGGAAGCTCTAGCAGAGTATCTGGTCATCAAGCCCCAACTTTCTAACCGTCTCTTCTTTTTGTCTTTTAGGCATGAAGAAAACAGTGGTTTATAGTTCACTAAAACTACACAAAATGTGGAAAGGATGGCTGAGGAAAACATCCTGATTTTGCTTGCTTTTATATGTTATGTGTAGTTGAATAAAGTGATCCTTTTTGACAGAACAGCGTTTGTCACTTTGACCCATTGCTTGAATTTGAAGATACCTTGGTTTGTATAATATTTGATTTTGAAACGTATGTGTTAGATATTTATCCAGGGGGGACCCAAATGCCTTTGAGGACTTACCATGAGAAGAGAAGAATCCTCTTTACATACAAAACCATCTGTGTCCTGCTCACCTAGGAGCTTTAGCTGTGGTCTGCGTTTTGGTACGTGAGAGTCAGTGAACGGAGAAATTATGCGTACGGTTGTGGACATGCAGCCCACAGGTGACAAGCAGGGAAGTGTGGCTACCTCTGTCTCTCAAGTCTCCTCTTCACCTGGCTTTTTCCATTGAGAGCTCACAAGTGTCATGTCAACATTTTCCTAGACCTAGGCTTTTTACATTTCTCTTTGTTCTCCTAGAAGGTGTATGACAGTGACTTGTGGGTGAGGAGCCTGTGACCATCCCTTGCGGAGCCTTCCCTATCGTAACAGGAATGTTTGAGTAATAGGCAACCCCCGCAGAGGGCCTTGAACAACAAACAATACATTAGCTCAAAGAACTGAAAAGCTAACGGTGTGGTGGGCTTCAGGGTTGGTTTGATCCAGCAGGTTGACAGGATCGCTCAGGACTGTTTCTCTCCAACTCTTCTCTCTGCCTTTTGTGGTGTTGGCCTTATGCTGAGGCTGGCTGCCCTCATAGTACTGAGACTGCTGGCAACAACTTCAAGGGCTATATGCTTCCCCATTTGCGTTTGGGGAGACAGAGCGGGTTCCCTTCAAACTTCCTCTTAGAAAAGCAAGAAAACTTTCCAGCAGCTCCCAGCAGGCCTCTGTCTGGTTTCATGGGCCCTGAGTGGGTCACTTGCCCATCCCTGAGCCAGTAAGTACAGAAGCATGGCTGATAAGCTTAGGCCTGAACCACTTGCTCCAACTCAAGAGCCAGCTGTCCCTCAAGCTCATGGACTCTGGGGAAGGTGTGGACGCCTGGACCTTTCCTGATGAGGTGACCCAAATCCTCATTCCTGAAGGAGCTGTGTCCTTATTGGATTGCTGTAGTTAACTCTTGTTAACTTTTACTGTTGAGCATGGCTCCAGGTTTTACGTATTGAACAGTGAGAATTTGATAGTGCTTACTATTCTGCAGAACATTTCTCATGACTCTTATCTTCATAGCAATACTATCAGTAGGCACTATTATCCAACTTATAAATGAGGAAACTGAAGCTCAGGTTAAGTAATTTTCCCAAAGTCACACTGCTAGTTAGATGGGAAAGCCAAGATTTCAAATCCAAACATTTGAATAGTGTGAATCGAGCTCAGTGCTCTTAACCACTGTGCTATTCCACAACTGAGCACACAATAGGTGCTCACTAAAGGGTACTGTTATTGTTGATATTACTTCCATTTGACTGATACCTGTCTTTTGGAGACTCTTTTATTCACTGCCCTGCAAAACTAACCAGTTAACTAAATAAAGCTTAAATAAAGAAATTTCTCTGATTTCTGTCCAGAATTGTTTAAAACACTGTTCCAAAATTTACAGTCATCTAATGAAAGGCCTGATCCCCAAAAGAGTGCTTCCTCACAAATTGAGAGTCATGGCTTCTAGTGATAACATTTCCCTTTATTACCCAGGTGACCTTGGAAAAAGCTTTGGATTTGGTGACCATAGCCTCATGATCAGATTCCAGGTCAGCTGTACCACAAATCAGCCAGGTGACATTGGGCCCTCTCTGAAGGAGTTGATGGTTGAGTGTTCACACTCCGCTCAAAGGTGAGCAGGCTTTGGGAGACTGGAGAAAACATAGTTGGCTAAGACCATAAATACAACAGTATCCAACACTGGTGGGCTGCCTTGGCCCACAATCATATGTCAGAACCCAAGTGACCCCTAGATGAATGTCAAAATGTCCATGTGGTCAGAGATATTCCTTCATACTTTGTCACATAACTTCTTAGTAATTCTGTAGCTCCCTGGGGGGTTGCTGAGGGGTCTCTAGGGCCAGAGTCTTGGATTGCACTACCAGCTCAATCATGAATTCCTTTTAGGTACTATGTGGCCGATGTGTCTTCAAGCCCCATGTCTCCCTCCTGAGCCTTGCCCTTCTGTTGTCCTGGAGCTGGCCGTCACCTTAACAACCAGATACCGCTGCATTAGACTCAGAGAAGATGCTCATTGCTCTAGACACTGTCCTCCCAAAAAGTTACTGAGCTAGTCTAACCCACAGAAATGCCCATTCTCCAAATCCCAACTTGTGGTAAGGAGCAAATGAATTAGTTTTATAGGCACAGGTGGGTATCTGTGAAAGTACTTTTAACAAGTGAAGGATTGAATGGAACAGGGAAAATGACCTGACATTTCTTCAAGGCCTATTCCCTAATTTATGCCTGAGGAAACAGAGGCACAGAGGAGTTAGGCCTTGCATGCCATTTCAAAGCTGGTAGATGACAGCCAGGATTCAAACTGGGCCATCAGTTTGCAGAGTCCTGCCTCTTAATCTCTTTGCTAAACTATCTTTCAATCACTTAGTGTTCATCCAGTCTGAAGAGAAGGACTAAGTGGTGTTCAGCCCGTTGCTTTATGAACAAGTAGGAGTTACCCTGCAGAGAAGGAAAGACTCTCCCGGGCACAGGGAAGTGCTCGTTCAAAAGCCCTGAATGGAGACATCACAATGTGTTTAGGGAACTAAAGCTAGCTCAAGATGAATAAAATGCCACGCAGATACTGTACAAAAGTGAGGCTGGAGAAATAACAGAAGTCAGATCATAAAGGTCTCCTAAGGCCTCTTAGTGTTATTAATCATTATCCCCGGAGCAGTGGAGAGCCAGTGGGGGACTGGAGAGTGGCCAACCTGGATTTGCATTTTATAAAAATCATTTTGTCTGCAACATGAAGAATGGATTAGAAGGGACAAGACCAATCATCCGAATGAGAGATAACGGCAACCTAGAGCAGACTCATTGAGAAGGGACCAAAAGGGACGAATTCAAGTGATGTTCAGGAAGTGGACTCAGTACAACTTGGTGGTTGAATATGAAGAAGGTGCCAGGGTTCTGGCTGGGGCAACTGGGAGAATGGTGTGCTATTTCTCAAACTGGGGATTCAGGAGGAGGTGCAGATTTGGGGTGGCATGAAGACAGTGATAAATTCAGGTCTCGGCATGCTGAGTTTGGAATGTCTGTGGGAGATGTTCAGTAGACAGTTGGCCACACAGGTCAAAAGCTGGAAGTGTAACCAGGAGAGTTGGCAGGTAGTAGATTGTGGGAATGGACGAGATTCCCCTAGGAAGTCTATAGAGTATGAAGAGAAGAGAGCCAAGCTCACAACACTGGGAAACACCAACATGAAACAGGCAGGAAAAGAAAGCTAAGGGGTAATGGACAGGTCAGAAGAACACCAAAAGAACAAGGTGTCGGGTCATACAGGGGACGGTGAGGAAGGATTAAATTGTATTACTGTTCCCCAGAATAATCTGTTTTCCTTCCCTGCAGTTCCCCACCCTATGGGAGGAGTAATTTTCTTCTCTCCAAGGACATCAGTTTGGCCTTATGACTTTTTGTGGCTAATGAAGTGGGAATGGGAGTGATATGTGTCACTTCTGAGCAAAATTTTAAGAGCCAGCCCAGAATTTACCATGTCTCATTTTCCTTCTGCCACAGGACTGGCGGTGTTCCAGATAGAGGCTACTCCATCAGCCTGGGTCCTCATTCAGTTGGGAGGCTCAAAAAAGGTTTCATGCATTCAGTTGATTTCTTAATTTTTGGCATGGGCACCCAGACATAAATGAGGGAAAAATGATTTTTTCAACAAACAGTGCTGGGACAAGTGGATATCCACATCAAGAGAATTAAGTTGAACCCTTACCTCCCACCATGTATGAAAATTATCTCAAATGGATCTAAGCCTGAATATAACAGCTAAAACTATAAAACTCTTAGAATAAAAGATGACTAAATCTTCATAACCTTGGATTAGTCCATGGCTTCTTAGACATGACACCAAAAGCACAAGCAACAACAAAAAAAATTGACGAATGGGATATCATCGAAATTTAAAACTTACGTGCTTCAAAGGACACCATCAAGAAGGTGAAAAGGCAACCCACAGAAAAATGAGAGAAAATATTTGCAAATCATATATTTGACAAGGTACTTGTACCTAGAATATATAGAAACACTTATAATTCAATAATAAAAAGATAAGTAACCATGTTTTAAAATGGGCAGAAGATCTGGATACACATTCCTGCAAAGAAGATACACAAATGGCCAGTAAGCACATGGAAAGATGCTCAACATCAGTCATCAGGAAAATGCAAATTGAATCACAACGAGACACCACTGTATACCCACCAGGGTGGCTATAATCAAAAGATAGAAAATAGCAAGCGTTGATGAAGGTGTGGAGAAATTGCAACCCTCATACATTGCTTGCAGGAATGTGAAATAGCACAGCTGCTGTGGAAAACAGGCTGGCAGTTCTTCAAATGGCTAAACATAGAGTTACCATATGATCCAACAATTCCACTTATAGCTATAGAGCCAAGAGAAATGAAAACATATGCCCACAAAAAACTTGTACAAGAATATGCATAGCACCATTATCCACAATAGCTAAGAAGTGGAAATAACCTAATATCCATCACTGATGAATGAATAAATAAAATATGGCATATCCCACATAATGGAATATTATTCAGCATTAAAAAAAATTGAAGGGGCACTGGGTGGCTCAGTCGGTCATAGGACTTTTGATCTCAGCTCAGGTCATTATCTCAGGGTTCGTGAGGTTGAGCCCCACATCAGGCTCCGAGCTGACAGTGTGAAGCCTGCTTGAGATTCTCTCTCTCTCTCTCTCTCTCTCTCTCTCTCTCTCTCTCTCTCTCTCAAAATAAATAAATAAACATCTAAAAAAAATAATGAAATACTGACAACATCCTACAACATGGATGAACCTTGA